TTAGATATTTTGTATTCACTGCTCGTTTCAATTTTGATTAGCCATTTCCATATTTTCTCTTGGTGGCTTTTTTTTTTTAATTTTAAGTAAGTTTATGTAGCCAATTATTTGTGAAATAAGTTTTAATATACCTTATCATTTCATTGTTACAATAAATTAAAATAATGATGGTAACAGTGAAATAATGACAATATACTTTGTCGTCATGTCATTGTTACTATCGTAATTTGATTTATTGACGTAATTATGGTACATTGATTTACTTACATTTAACGTAACTAATTTGCATGAAATAATTTATGTCCAAAAACTAGTAATATGAAAAATACAGTAGTATAAAGTAAAAAAGTATTAAAAAATTTGATTGTCAAAAAAATGATTTTGTGTGTAGGACATAGATAAAATAATATTTATATAGGATTAATTAATTCATGTTAGTCCAACTTTTTTTCATCATTTGTGTTTGATGAAATACTACATCGGAAATGAATTAATTCCTCCTATTAAGTGTTCTCTAAATGTCTGCAAACCAGGTGAAAGATTAATCATTACAATTTAATCAAAGGTAGTTGCTATTAAATGGCACATAATTAGTTATATGCATCCAAGTATATTTGTGGGGTTTTTTGCCTACCTGAACCGGCGTCTTAGCAGGTTAAAAAATTCGCTGTCACTATAGCCGATTAATTTTCTGGAGAAACTATTTTTGACCTTGATTTACTTAATAATGGATTACTTATCAACGTTAATTGTCATGTTGCCATGATCTTATACTCAGAATGGAGGTCTAGTTGTTGCACTTCATTGCATAAATAGTGTGAGAACATAACTCAAAAACCACAAAGGCATTCATTTCATCCATTTCAGGACAATATAAGTATTTTATCATCATGTTTGTACCATTTCATCTCATTATTTATATTGACTGTTGCATGCTATTATTTGCCGGTCACATTGCATTCTGGTAGTATTTTTAGAGTTGCGGTCTTTTATTCTTGCTTTATTTGCTTTTTGTAATCTGATCGTAACACTCTTGCAATTAATTATTATTTATTGCATAGAAACGATAAACTTTAGTTTTTGTGTTTTCTTTATTGCTTTTTACAAGCCAATCAATAATATTGTTGCAATGGTTATAAGTGCATTCATTGTTAATATACTTGGTGAATAGTACAATAAAATTGTGTTCAACAATGATGAAAAAAAAAATAGCCAAGGTCTTGTACAATTTTACTTTAGGTTAGTATAGTTATTCTTATTAATTACATTTTTATAAATTATTTACATAATATTTTGAATTTGTATAATGCATTGAAACAACCTTAAGATCCTAAGCCTATTTTCCAGAAGTATACCCTGAATGTACATCATCAACCCCTATAGTCAGACTAGGCAGGCTAGTTTGTTAGGGTAGCTTGTCAGGGCTAGACCAGATAACACACTGAAGCTTAACCGTGGAGCTCTTAGGCTCGTTTTTCCCCAAATTGAAGTACCAAATTGGACCCTTTACGCCAGGCTAAAAACAAATTGGAATAGCTACGGGTCTAGGATAACATGCACAGAAAACCTCTGACACAAGGCTGATTATCTCATTAAATTTGTTTTGGCGAACTTATAAACAAATGTTGAGTTATAATACACAGTGTTGTGGAAAGTTGTGGGTCAGGATAGATCCTGTTTGAGTAACTCTACTACAGATGTTTTGTCATTCCGGGTTGATTGGTTTACTTATTGCCGAAGTTCTGATTAATTGTTGCTATGCATTTGATATCTGCTAATCTTTGTGCATTGTCTGTTAATGTATGTTTTTTTTTTCCTTTGCTTTAACAGTGGCATCTGTAGCGCAGACTAACAGCACTAACTCTTTACCTGGACTCGGACTACAGACATTAACAGGTGCGATTATTATGTTTATGATTATTGTGATTAGAATATAATGTATTATAATTATATTTGGTGTATAGTGTGTAACACTGAAGTGTTTTTAAATAATTCTTACTGATTAAGTGCTTTGAGATACCTTGTGTATTGTATTTAATATGTTATTATTGTTATTATTAGCTATTATTATTAGTGTTAGCGAAATGATTAGAAACAAATAATACATGAAAACAACCAATTATGAGGGAAAAACATAATGTGAGATGCCGTATTTGGCTATTGTAGCATGCAGAACAACCAATAAAATTGTACAACTTTGTGAGCAGCAAGGCAACTTTTGCTGGCTAAAAGTAGCCCACACCTGCCCAGGCCCTACTCCTTACCCCTGAGCAAGACAGTGTTACATTAATAATCAAGATGTACAAGCCTAGTTAGCTAATGTAGTAATACTACTAGTAACAGTGGCTGTATGGGCCGTATAACATGTAAGCCTACAGACAGGTGCAAGTTACTTGTAGGCTTACTATTACAAGGTAGTCCCGTCTGTTTCCCTGTCCATGTGATTTAGACTTTTACCCTTGGAGAACCGGGTACCTATTTTTTATCTTATCCACTTCATCGGGCAAGAGAAGCCTTGTCGGTAGCTATGCTACGATTGTTTTAGCTTTTCTATCAACAATTTATCAGCCATAGAGCAGCAGCAGCTTTTTCTTGCTACTCCATAATTTGTTTTTGTATCTTAAGTGCATACTGAATAATTTCATCTTGGATCATTGATTAGTACATTAAACTTTGATTATAAAACTTAAATCTTAATTTGACCTTCAATTTTCTTGTCATTATTCTTGTAAAGATAAGTTAACCGCAGAAGAGTTGCTTAATGACTACACTGGTTTTGTGCGATTCATAATTATTTTCAAATTTTTTATGGCTATGTGATTTCAACTTGCTGGATGGATTATGGTGATAACCATCATCCAAGCTAATTGTTGGCAACATTTTCTCTTGTTGATGTTTATTTTGCCTCATCATGTAAAGAGTGTCTGGATTAATTGTTGTTTTAGGTATTATTATTATCTATTTAATAATTTAGTTGAAATTAACATCAGCAATATTTAATGTCATATCATTTATTTCAACCATACTCAAAAGACATCCTGTAAAGGGCGATACTGCTGTTGGATGTAGTTGAAATAAAATAAAAAATAAAAATAAATAAAATAAAACAGATAGTACTCTTCAAGGTTTTTTAAAAATTTAATTTTTGTTTACTATTACCGATCACTCATGCCTTCTCAGTAGACAGCAACAAAACATTTCATATCTGTTATTATCTTTTTAATTTACTATCATCTCTAAACAAATATCATCCACCAGGACCTAGGTAGACAAGTATGTCTATATCCAGAAGGCTTTGTGGTAAATCCAAATTTATTAAAGAAAGTATATCATCATACTAAAAGGATACTTCCTAATGTGAAGACCATTAAGCCACCGGGGCATCAAGGCAAATTTGCATTTTAGTAAAAGCAATGTCCTGTGCTGCAGTGAATAGGTTTCAATAGCACTAGTTCTTGAAGTTCTCTTGCAGGAAAAAATCTACATAGTCAGAATCTCCAAAAGTATTCTTTTAATGTAATAATATATATTAATGTAATAATATGTATTTATTTATAAGTGGACCGTTGTTCATCTCTGCATATTCCAGCAGTGATGCTTTTGAACACCCTTGGATTTTTTTTTTGGGGGGGGGGTGTGGAAGTTGTGCATTTCCCCGGAGGAATTTAATATTTTATTATATTTATTTATTTATTTTTTTGATTTCTAAGTACAACCACTATTAGGTTACATAGGTTATTGGAGCTACTGCACATTTCAGCGTTGATTTTTTTTTGGGTGGTGGGGGAATTTGAAGACTTTATAAAAATGTTTTGTGGTATAAGGGTACAGATAATATTGCCCACTAATAGATTACTGGATAGATGCTCTTCATTAAATAAGATGTAAACAGGTAATATAATACATAAAAACTGAAATAATATATATATAACTTAAGATAAGCTAGTCAATTTGCACTGTATATTATACTTTGTAATATAAAATCTGTGTGTGCATGTGAATGAAATTGCGCCCTCTTACTATTTTTTAAGCAGCCTTTTTAATGCGTTGGCTGCCAAATATGGGTATCCATGTATTACGACATGTTACTATATAATTGAACAATTATGAAATAAAACAATTATTATTAATTTGGTAGTGGGCGAAAGATTGTTTTGTTCCTTATTATAGACCTTCATAATGTTTGCATAAAATGGACTCTCAAAAAAACTTGTATGGCATTTTCATTGGCAGCCAATGTGTAAAGTTGATATCATTCCACCTTTTGTTTTTCTTATCCTATCACTTTCTTTTTCCCTATTCTTATACTACAGCCCATTTACAGGGACAACGAGCAGGTATGCAAGCTCTATGCATTTTTCTGTTAATGTCTGCTTGTTTTCAAAGCCAGCTGTGTTCACCTTCTTAAACCCATTCCTACATCTTACATGTTCACCCAATTCTTAGTAGTTTGTGATTATTGTGTAATGCACTTTTGTGTTTTGCCAACTAATGAATTTTTAACATGCACGATTAGATGATGATTTTGGATTCTCTTAATTTTAGCAAGCACATATTTTTTGATAGTACATTTTTATGTGTACATAACTATCATAATAAAAACAAATGTGGTAATTATTATAAAATTATGATAATAACTTACACAGCATTACATATCTACTACAACAGTACTTTTAGTGTTTATGCTGTTGGCGTTTATATATGTTTATATTTCATTTATTTTTTTATTAATATTTTTTTTTTTACTAAAAAATGCATTTTGTATGTTGTTTGTATATGATTTTCTTCTAGTTTATCAGTGAATGCTTGTAGCCAGTGTTTGAAAATTAGTTTGCTTACATTTCTTTGCCTTATTAAAAGCAGTCAACTTTTCGCGATGCTTGGGTTTGCTATAATTTAATTTAGTTGATTGAACTTATTTAAATGTATTTTGAAGTTGATTTTTGGTTTGCTTTGGTAACAGGTATTTGTTTTGCATACACCTGTCACTTGGTTTTGAGTAGCAGATAGGTTCACTCGGGTTCTGATAAAACTAATCCTAGATAATAATCCTTAAATTAAACTGGTTGTCCTTTCTGTCATTGTTAGCAAGTGACTTAAATTATTGGTTTAATTTGTAGAATCCACAATTATCTATACACATTGAAACCAGGTGACAGTATTTTAGATTAAGACATTTAACATTACTTGAATGTCAAGTGTGTGATTTTAGTACTTGTACACACATTCTCAAAAAATAAATACTTCCAAGATTTTACTATCTATTGAATTCAAGAAGACACGCAAGACATACAAGCATCAAGTGGGGACTCGCATTGTTTTTTTAAATATTTGGATTATATTTGGATCTATTATTTGGATTTGGAGATATAGCTAGTACAAATGTTGAATAATACATTTTTTTTTTAATCTTGTGTTTTTTACAATAGTGCTGTGTACTATAAATAATGTAATTCTCTATTTTTTTTTTTCATATTTTTGGTATTGTGTTATGAAAGCAGTGTTTGTGATGATGGTAGTGTTTGTAATTGATGGTAGTGTTTGTGATGATGGTAGTGTTTGTGATGATGGTAGTGTTTGTGATGACGGTAGTGTTTGTGATGACGGTAGTGTTTGTGATGACGGTAGTGTTTGTGATGACGGTAGTGTTTTTGATGATGGTAGTGTTTTGATGATGGTAGTGTTTTGATGATGGTAGTGTTTGTTGATGATGGTAGTGTTTGTGATGATGGTAGTGTTTGTAATCATGGACATATTTATGATGATGTGCATGTTTGTGATGGTGGACATATTTGAGACAGTGGTAATGTTTGTGATGACGGTAATGTTCATGATGATGGTAGTGTTTGTAATCATGGACATGTTTGTGATGGTTCTAATAAATACCAATGATGCTGGTATTTGTGATGATGGTAGTGTTCCTATAATAGACAGTATTTGTGATGCCAGTTTTTGTGATGCATTGTTTTTGTGATGCATTGTTTTTGCAATAGTGAGTACTTGTAAAAATGTGCAGTGTGCTGAAAATGGCTTAAAATCAAGGAATGAGAATTACGATGCCTATTAACAAATAGGTGGTTATCTAGCCTTCACTCTTCACTCTTCAATATTTCTTACTAAACATAATTCTGTAATCCCCTTCCTTTCATGAAATTAAGATTTTCAAATTATAATTCTAACAACTGTATCCGAAGGTAACTTTTTAGGTACTGTAGTTAGGTTAGTTTCATCTCAAGTAGCTACACAACCCTAGGCATTTTGTTTTAATAATTATTTGTTTAATCTTAATAGAATAGCATCAATAAATGCATATATCTGGCATATTGAAGTACAGTACATAAATTATTATTCACTATTTACATTAGAATGATATAACCATGTGCACCCTTTATTGTTGTTTACATATGGTAGTCATGAGCTAATTTCAAATACCTTTGGTAATTATCAGCTCTAAAATATCAGAATTTGAACAAATTGTATCCAATTTCCTTTTTACAAATTAACAATATCTTTTTTTTTCCATTTTGGCATTGTAGGTACGGCGCCAAATCTATCATCGAATAATGCGCTGTCTGGGTTAGCTGGACTCCAGGCCCTGAAAGGTGTGCATAGTTTGCACTTGCCTCTTAATTTTCCATCACGATTCTTGTCTTCACCTTTCTGTATCTATGAAGCTGGTCAAGTGTGATAAAAAAAATTCTTCGTAGCTACATTTTGTAAAGGAAAAGAATTAATTTTAATGAGCTAAAATTATTAGCAACAAATTTTACACATTGAATTTAATAATGTGGAAAGCAAAATTCATTAACAACCACATTAAAATCCACTTGACCAGTGGCAGTTTCTTGGGTCAAATTTCTTGGTAGCATGATTCAGTTCCTATATGAACTTTTACAGTAGCATGGATCAGTTTTTTTTTTTCCGGCACCATTCTCAGTAACATGGTTCAATTCCTTTGGCCTCCTTTATTAGTACCTTATTATTATTGTTTTGACACCTTCGTACTGTCAGTACCATGTAGCACCTTTCTCAGCCATATTGTTCTTTTCTTTTTCTTTCTCAGTAGCATGTTTCAATCCCTTGGGCACCTTTTTTTTTTTTCAGTAGCATGACTATTGATAGAGGCTACACTGCATGAATTTGACTTTCAAGTCAGGTGCTGGGGGGAAAAATGCTATGTTGTACAATTCATTTTTCTAAAATACACATAAAAACATATTTGACAAAAAAACTAGGGAAATGGTTAATGAGATGCAGATTTTTGAATATTTAAAAACTGGGGGAAAAAGGGACATAACCACCCTTTTTTTCTACCTTTTGCCCCAGTCTTTAAATATCCAAATACTGTATCTGTATCTCATTAACTGCTTCTGAGTTCTTCGTCAAAACATTCTTTTTGTGTCTTAGAAAAATCTGTTGTACAGCTTATCAAAAAATATTTTCCTCTGGACACTGGCTTTCAGTTTTTATAGTCATAATTTTCTTTCACTTTTTTAATACTTTTAAAATGTACGTGATTTTAATTGATATCTTCAAAAAACCTGATAACTTTTATTGTTAAAGGTTGGCTATTTATAGATGAGGGCAGCATTTCTAGATCTCAAATTGACCTCCTTTGATATTTTTCAGTGTTTGTAGTACTTTTATGAATAGGTGTATTTTATATTAACATATAGTGATGTGATGTAGTAGAAGCAGTTACGCATATATGTAGCATGCGTGCATGCTTCTGCTACTAGCAGCCATGTATGTATGATTGCATCTAGCACACAGCCGATGTTTCTGTCTTCTCCGTTCTTTGACTTTTGCATGTTTGATATCTGTAGTTGATTGTCATACATATCTGTATTGATCTGCTTCTCATGGGTTTTTTTTTTTTTTTTTAACTACAAAAATAATTCGTTCGACAGACACTTACCTATAGCCTTGATACACATAAATTCTATGAAATGTCGGAGCTGACTTCCTGTTAAAACGATGTACTTGTCGGACAACCACGCTTATCAGACTATGAAAATATGTCTTATACTGTATTTGACACTTTTCTACTTTTAAATCTGTTTTAGGGTCAATAGGTGCAACAAATTCATCAAGTGCACTGACAGGCTTGACGGGCTTACAGGGCTTGGCGGGTGAGTAGTGCAGTGTTTGATAAGTACTGGTTCTGACTGACATATTGGATGTCTTTCCTCGAACATGCTAATCATATTGCATTATTTTACAAAAATAAAGATGCTACCAGGCTTGTTCAATACAATAAAAAATGTGAATAAGCCCTTTCATAGTTTTCACTTTGCATAACAACAATGTTGAGTGACAAGGAATATGAACAAACAATGAATTGAATTTGTTATTGTCTGTATTTTTAACAGTAGTTGTTTTCCTACTGTATATAATTTCCAAATGCTGGCAGTCAGTCATTCAACCATTTTTGATAAACTATAAATATTAATTGTTTGTTTATTACTTTGGCACTCATGTGCATTTGAAACTACCAGAGGTTTTATTCCTAGTTTTAATGAATATTTCATTTTTCATGTCCAATGTGTGTTTCATATGTTAACAATTACTTGTGTGACATTCCTATTGGACATCTGTTTTGATTAGAACATAGCAATGAATATTCATTTATATGATCTTTTAATGTTATTAAATATCACTATTAAAATTATTTACATTGAAATTCATGAATCCTAAATGAATTTTGGATATAATTCCATTGAATTTCAGAGAATTTGTTTATAAACAAATCAATTTTTAATATTCCATTTGATATAAAGCTTATTACGATCAGCTAGAATATATAGTATGCGGCTTTTATGTTTCTCCCATTTTACTCTCTTCGTATTTATTGACAAAATTCTAACAATTGCATATTTTTCTGTAAATGAACATCTTCACCATTTGTCAACACTAAAGTATAGAGTATCAAGTTTCAACACTTGATAAGCTCTTGTATATTCACAATTAATTATAGATAAATACCACACATATATAACAGGGCACATTTATTCCTCTTGCACGGAATGCAACATTATCATTATTTTTTATTGTGAATTATATTAATTTTCCTGGCAACTATACTGTTAGCACAGCTAAAATTACTCCCTCTTTTTTACACCATTCCATCGGTTATGACTGTCCCTCACCCCTTTCCGTACTCTTCCGGAATTAGACTTGTATTTTAAATAGTAAAGATCATTTCCTGTGCTTTTAGCTCTGATTCACTGATTGCTGTGTTTAATCAAATCATTACTAATAAACAGGTTATTTTTTATGTATATACAAATGATACACAAATACCATATATTTGCTAATAATCTTGTGCCTATTTTTATGTATTTTTTATGTTCTCATAGTATAACAAACTGTTTTGGTTTATTTTGTGCAACCCTTTAACAATCTGACAAAAAAGACCATGAGGTGAAATTCTCCTTTAGATGAAAAAGAAACAAAAATTGTTTGGGAAATAATTTTTAATATTTAGGCAACACTTGATTTATTTGGTGCCTTTAATTCATCTGTTTGCAGTTCATTGTGAGCTTGCCTCTGTGCTAATATTTACATTAAGTGTTGCCAGCTTTAGGGAAATAGATATGTTAATTATTATAATCTTGTCATGGTTGAAAACATTATGATAATTTGTTATTATTACAATTATTATTGTTATTTATTGTTATTACTATTATTGTTATTCTTGATGCATGTTGTTGTGTTGACCTATGAACTTTCCACTCATGACCTTTCAACTTTGGAAGGTACAGGAATGACGAGTTTGACCGGGGTGAATGGATTTGGTACGCCTTCCTCTAATGGCGCAAGTGGACCTAGTTTAGATCTTAGTGCTCTATCACAGGCCTATTCTGGAATCCAACAGTACACAGGTGGGTTCATTCTCGGCCAGTTACAAATTTCGGTAGTGGTGAGCAAGATGGAGATCGATAAAGTCCTCAACATTTCAGCATATTTTTTTAATTAAATCACTTTCAATCCCTACATCCAATCGTAATACATCTACATGTAAGCCATCTGTGCTTTTCCTGCACATTTTTCCTTTAATATATTCATAAACTCCCCAAAAAATTCTGTTTAACCTAATCAATCATGGATTATAATCAAATGTTGCCAAATGGGAGAAAAACAAAATTATTAAATGTATTGCATTTTGATGTCAATTTTTTTTTTTTTTTTTTTTTTTTTTTTTTTTGAAAAAATTTTCAATTGGTCTTCACTTCCTCTTCGCATTTTGATTTTTGTCCGCAACACTCAGCTGTTTCATTCCTGTACAAGGCCAAAATTTGCGTCCAAGTAAAATCTAATAAAACAACTTTTCAGAATCTGTTAACCAAAATTTTATTTCAACGATCTGTTTTTAAATTGTTTTTTTTAATTGCTTTTTTTAAAATCATATTTGTTCGGGCTTGATTCCAAACCTCTATGGTATCATACTTCCAGCTTAGTTGCTCTTATTTTTTGTTTTGTGCATGTTAGTTTTTGTGTACAGTACATTCCTTTTTCGTATTGAGCTTTTGCTCTTGTTTTTACTCCGGTTAATGCATGGCCTGTTGTCATTGGTTATCTAACAATTTTTGACGCACTGTTGTGTGTGAAAAGTATGTTTCACGATTGAGGTTTTGTCTGCTTCTACACATCTTGCAACCTTTTCTATGGAATGTCTGCCAGGAAGAGATTGCAATTTGTTGGAGCTAGATTGTAGTCTGTTTTTGATTACAATGTGTGTGTGTGTGTAGTGTTTACCCATTCTGGATGAAGCCAAACAATCTATCTGGCCCAGAAAACAAATTAACACTCAATATATTGTTTCCTACATAACACCTTTATATGAATAATAACAGATTCTATTTCTAGTAACACTTATTTATAATTTAATGATGACGTTTACATTATTTGAAAATGAATTAATATTTATTTAAACTGGTAGAGATTTTATCATCATGTTATTGTTTTTTTAATATTCTTAATATTACATATATTTGCTTTTACTCCCTTTTTCTTATTTTTATACAAATAAATAAATTTTCTATGATTAAAAAGTTTTAAAATGATAAATAGAAGGTGTATATTAGCCACCTGTACAAAACTTTTTAAAATATTTTATTTATTTAATTTATATTATATGTCGTTATTTAGTATTTGTTAATTTTTTGAAATATCACATAATGAAGAATTTATAAAATTAGTAATATTGAAGTGTGATAATATGCCTAATGCGATTGGATAAGATCAGATCATTGTTGTAATTATGTCCAGCAACTTTAGGGTGACGTTTACCATCGTATTAACTATTTAATAAAATGAATGTTTTTCTACTTGTCATTTCGCTATCAGCACAATTTCCAAATGGTTTTGGAACACCATTCACACAACAACCAGTGCCAACTAAACAAAGAGAAGGTTAGTGTTTTTAAATGTTTTCTATTTATCGATTTTTTCATATTTCTTCATGTATTCTTATTCGTTCTTTGATCTGTCAAGGTAACACCTTATATCCGTAGCTATTCATGCATAGCACTGTCTTTCCTTTATACTCGGTCTTGTGGCTAATTCATGTTTTCTCAGCCATCTACCTTAAATACACTGGATTCATACATGTGTATCTAATTTAATAGAACCTTGCATATATGCCATGTGTCTACCCATCTACCTGTGTATATATTTATGATGTACGGTTTTTCATCTCTCCATTAATTCCTGCCTCGTATATCAATCCTTGTATGTTGATTGAATGTATTTGTGCAGCAATGATATAATATATTTACTTTGTATTCAAAGATTGCATTTAGCCAACCTGCTTATTTCAGCTGTGCATGTGTTCCTATTTCACTTGGTGCCATAAGGTTATTGGCAAGACAGTAGCAGTAATGTTATTACACAGTTAATGTTGAGTATGTCATCAACGAGCTGTAATCTTCATTAATCTCTACCTCACTCAATGATCAAGTCCCTTGACACAGAATCTGTGTCAAATAATTTAACTTTAAATTTGCTCATTTTTAGTTTATCAATATGCTTCTAACAAAAGGAAATATAGTTTTTCAAGTTTTATGAATTATTATGTAAATACTTAATATATGAAGATGTAACTATTGGCCCCTATAAACACTCTGACCGCCAGGGGTTGTAAAAAGTAGTATCGGCCAGCGCCAGACGTTCTAGCAAATTTTAACACCGTTTAGAAGCTCGTTGAGTGTGCGCATGTGATCAGATTGACAGGAACTACCAACATTGTGTCTTTAAAATGGTAACAAACACTTTATTCTAATCACAATCTGTGACCTGTAACAGTAAAATGAAAATGACTCACTTTTGGAGATTTATGCAATTTCGCACAACGCAGCTGAGATAATCACGATTTCGTGAAATAAAATCAATCTCTACGCTAATGTAAACAAATAAATAATGAAATACTTGCGGTCCAGACTGAATATAGTGTTCAATTTGTTAGTACATGTCGGTAATTACCCCATCTATCGGATTCAGTAAAAAAACCTGGTCAAGTGTTGCGTAACCAAACACGGAGATCTCTGTGTTTGGCGCGCAGAGTGTTAAAACTACACCCCTTTAAAATAATACAAACACCTAGATAACTTAAACTTCCAGGGCTGCTCATTAGGAATTATTGAGCTCTACTTTTTTTTTCAGGTATTTTGTACCAATTGTTTAATTGTTTCTCCATATCTATTTGTAGATTCATATTTGATTGATTTATATTGATATCTATCTTCAGGACCTGATGGAGCCAACCTGTTCATATATCACTTACCGCCAGAACTTCAAGATGCTGACCTAGTTCAGATGTTCGCACCGTTTGGAAATGTTGTCAGCGCTAAAGTTTTTATAGACAAAAAGACAAACCTCAGCAAATGTTTTGGTGAGATTTTGAGTTACTTGAGAAAGTCCTAGGCATGGCAGTTACATTTTTAGGTGTCTGTCTTGAGGTCAGGTGATCAAATCCATCCTGCCTGTTCCAGTTGTGTCCTTGGGCAAGTCACTTTCCCTCCATCCATGACTATAAATTAAAACTATGAACACTCCAAAGAGAAAACAGCTTTCACATTGTGCACGACTTGCAGGATATGACCAGGCGTTTGAAAAAATCTATTACCAATTAAATGAGTATAGAGCTTATATAAATAATGAGACTGGCCAGTGTCAGACCGCTTTGCTCCTCGAATAGCCCTCGCACAAGAGTTAAGCGAGTGAAGGGGCGATGTATCTGTTATACGTCGTTACTGGCCCCGCACTGTGTCTGCCACCCAGGGGCTCAACCAAAATTCCCAATTTCAGATATATGGAAGTGGACAAAAATTGAAAATTTAATCTTTTAATATGCTTCAATCTCTGGCTACAGCCATGTGTAGGGCTTTCGCACCCAACATTATTAACGTAATCTCATGTATTTTTGGTCAATCTGCGGTCTTTTCAGGTTTTGTGAGTTTCGATAACCCGGCCGCAGCCCAATCAGCAATCACAACAATGAATGGTTTCTCAGTGGGCTCAAAGAGATTGAAAGTGCAATTAAAGCGCAACAAGGAAAAACCATATTAAACGAGGTAAGTTAAGAGAAAAACAAGTTAAGAACTATGTTCAACAGACAATTCCAGGATCTCTTCCCGCTTATTGGACTGTGGAAAGGGAGAGGCTTCGACAGAAATTTGAATGGAAAATGCAAATAAGAGAATAGGGATTATAATAGAGTGGAACAACTTTCAGCAGTTTTTAACTAAAGATGATTATATTTTTTTAGTAAGCGTAACCATGTTATTTGTCATAGTAACAGTTAACTGCTGAATTTCTTGTGCAATATAACTATGCAATAATAATAATAATATATTATGTCTCCCTATTTTGTTTGGTGAAAGTTCCTTTTTTATTATTGGATTCTGTTTTGATGTTTGGGGTTTTCTGAACAATAGAATGGTTTTGCAATATTATAATATGAAGACATCATATCTTTGGGTTTTTCTACTCATTTTAGTGCATGTATTTTATTTTGTACATGCAGCTAATACACAAAATTGAATTCACATTGTTGTTGATTGTTCAATCAAAATAACAAATTGAGCAATCAAAAAAATAGGTTTTTACTATGAATATCAGTTTCATTTATATCTTCTTGAATCTGGTATGGGAACCTGTAGCAGACTACTGGTTCCCCCAAGGCCCTGTATGCCTTATAATTACTGAGTAAATCTTATTAATTCTAAAAAATACTGCTGTCAATTTTGCAACACACTTTTACAGATGTGAATGGGGATTTGCTTAAAATAAACAAAAAATTAATGATGTGATTTTTGTTTCTTTAAGATTGCAAAACCGCTCTGTAGACTTTTTAAATTTCTAATATTTTTTGCTAATCTGTATTTTTAAACTTCCTCTTCTGTGGCATACTGTTGTTAAGGTTTAAACAAAGCAACTTTTTAAATAGATTGACAAAGATAAGTTGTAATTACTTCAATATAATATTTTAAGAAATACAGTACAAGATAGTGGAAGAATACTAAAATAAAAGAAATACATTTTTAGGTTGCAGTCCCAAAGAGTCATGGAATGTATTGTAAAAAATGTAGCATTATAAATTTTGTTTTTTTCAAGAAAAAAAAATATAAATGTGTATGGCTTCTACTAGCCATTTGAAACGGCGCTTTGTTGTCGCGTCGGGTCTGTGTGAGGTAAACGCAGACGCGATGGTGTGCGTTGGGGGCAGTCGCGTCGTAGAATATTAAACATGTTTAATATTTCTCATGACGGCTTAAGACTGTCCCCGACGATAAATCGGGAGGTCGGGCTGTCTGAGTTGGCCTTTAGAGATTTTATGTAAATAATAAAATAATAATCGATCAGACTCCAATTAAAACCGAATGCTGGCCAAGTTTGAACTGGGGTCTTTAGCACAAGAAGCAGGAACAATACCTCTCAGCCAACCACTCAGCTCGATATGTCGTATGGCTGCTACGCTTTCTGCTTGTGATGGCTGCTGACTGCTACAAACCCTCTACTTGAGATATGTGGCTGCTACACCATTTGTTGGAAATGTCACCTGACTGCTACCAGTCATCTGCTTGATGTGTCATGTAGCTGCTACACCTTCTGGTTGAGATTCCATCCGACTGCTACAAACCCTCTGTTTGAGATATGTGGCTGCTACGCCATCTGTTTACAATGTCATCTGACTGATACTTGTTATTTTTCCCTGGTCATTGGGTCCACATGCTAAGTGTTGTTGCTGGTAATCAGCGCAGGAGCAGTTAACCCCACCAGGTTCCCATTTATACTTCTGGGTGAAGAGAATCAATGCAGATAAAGTGTCTTGCTCAAGGACGCAAGCGAAATGCACAGCGAGGGATTGAAACCCCGGCCTCCAGGTTGGGAAACCAAACCATTCCAACAGCGCCAAACCGCTTCTATCAGATTTTATTTCACTGCTAATAGCCATCTGCTTAAAATACCATCGACTTGCCTACTAGCCATCTACTTGATGTCATTTGCTGCTACTAGCCACCTGTTGGGAAATCATGTGACTGCTACATCATCTGCAGTGGATGTCATCTAACTGCTACTGTGTGTATATTCACACTCAACATCTAACAGTTTGCAACATCCACATCAATAAGTCCAAATCACCTTTTCAGATGTACTGCCCCATTTTCGCTATATCCTTGTTTTATGTCACACCAAATAAATTCAATCTAATGTGTCTTTATACTCCTTTAAATTTGTAACAGAAAAGAAACCAAATTTGAATAATTTTTCTGATTACAAAGGTGAGATTTTAAAGTCAATTATTCTGACAAGTGCCTGGTGAGCATGTGACAATTTCTATTATTTATACAAGTGTAATATAAAATCACAATTCCCTGGTAAAAGCAAGGCCAAAGGCTAACGATTATATTTTGAACAATTTGTGGCAGAATGAGTGCTAACTCAACTATAAATATGTAGGACTGCAACTTAAAAAAGATGAGTTTTATTTTAAATGTCAATAATCTACATAGTATGCTACAGAATAGGAATGAAACTATTACTGTGACATCTACCAAATACGTACTCTCTAATTTACTTGGATTGCGACGTCATTGCAAACAATCTTTTCTAACAAACGAAACATTCAAAATTCATTTTTAAATCCTCAAATAGAATAAAATGTTAAATCAGATAAGGAATCAACATATAAAGTTCCTTTAAAGCACGAAATATATTGCAATCAGTGCTGGTAACACTTTTTAAAAGCACATGGCCAAGTAAGTGGCAATATGTTGACTCACAATTGTCGCTGGTGGTCCTATTGCAAAGTGTTACTGTAAACAAATTCCTTATTGATATAAAGGGAAACCTTTTTACACGGAAATCATATTGTACCATATTCTGTGGCCCTGAACAAAAATTTGAACTCTTAATCAGAAATTTTCTCAATTACAAACACTGGTTAGACATAGTAGTATGTAATGGGAAGATGTCACTGTAATATTATATTTTGAATTGTTTGTTGAAGATAATATTTTTGCAAGTGCATGCATGTTAAGGTGAAGTAAAATAAATGATGCAACTGATTAATGCAACCATCTGCCCTATCTCAAAGGTAAAATTTAATTCTAGTGAGTTGTGGGAACATGGGATGAGGAATGCAAAATAGATGGTTGATAATCATGTTATCTCATTGTGAAACAGTGGCAACAAATTGACATTATCAAATGTATAATTTGTTCCAGAGTTTCAGTATTATTATGATAGTGAATTATTCTAGATTATAACCCAGTTGACCTTAATGATGTCAATGAACTTTGACTCAATGTTAACAGAAATGAAATGTAAAATTGTTATTTTCATAAAATGAAGAAGAAATCCGTTTATGAATAAGGTGTTTAATTAATAAACTAAATTATTAATGAATCTTCCGAAATAATTTAGCGAGGAATTTTGTATTTTTTTTAATCAGTTTCACCATTTTGTAAAAAAAAAATTAATGAATTTATTGGCCAACATTCCTGCTAGTAAAAAGTTAGATTGTAATTTGTTAACGGTTTCATCAAGATGATTGGGGCTTTATATTGAACCATTCCATTATTATTGTTTGTCTTGTAAATATTTTGTGCTTATACGTCTACGTTATCATTACCTGGTGTATTTGTAAGTACTCTTTGTTGTGATTACTAAAGCTTCAAAACCTTAAAGTACAGAGGATAAATACTAATCTGGTTTTAATAATCCCCATCAATTTTTTAATTTAGAAAAGACTTAAAATCAAATACATTCTTAATTGTTTGCACCATACATAATTCAAAAACATGTCCCACTGTGATTCAAACAATTAGAATACATGTATGTATGCTTCATGCTGATAAAATAATCAAAATCTGTGTTTATGCAAAACATTTGCTTTTTTTTTTTTTTCACATTTGTGAATTTGTTTATAGCAGATCCACCAGCTTATAAGTTATAGCATTGTTTTTTTGTTGTTTTTTTTTCCTATGTGGGATGTCTTTGAACATAGTTTTAGTTGGCATTAATTTAACTAATTTGTTTTTCATCTTAATAATTTAGCTTTTTTTCTCTGCATGGCATCAAATGATTAATCAAAGTAACTGCTGTTGTTTGTGTTCCCTCCTAATTGTTAGCTCATAATGATTTTTTCCTGAATCAAATGGAATATGACTACAGCCCTCTCGTGTATTGTTTGGTAAATGAACGATCAAAGTATTCTATGTTCTCTATTTGTTTCAAAGCTTAGTTTTAATATTTCTTTTCATTTGATTTCTGTTTCCTATCTGGGAGATATTGTTTCATCTCTTTTCATAATTTTACTAACTCCACAATTTATCTGTAAATCCATTCCTATGTTTTTTGTTTTTTTGTTTTTCTTGTTCTTTATAATAGATGGGCATCTGTGAAAACTCATAACCATGCCCGTTTTGCGTGATGTCTACGTCTTGAATCTGGCATCAACCGTACGTCACATGTCGTTCTTCTTTCCTGTTCGCACTTCTGTTTATTGCCTCGTCACGTGCGTGTCGCGTCTTTGTCTTCATCATCCAAATAAGCAAACAAAAATCACGGATATAAAATTTTATTGGGTCTGATGTGACCGCATCAGAGAATTATTCAAATATGTGTATGCATCTTTAATTGTATCATGTGATCAGGTTTTAGCCAATCAGCTCTGTTGATGTTCAAACAATCAAGTTCTTAAATGTTGGATTTAAAAGTTTGAAGTTTTTTTTGTGGTATTTGATATGGTTGACATATGTGGAAGTAGAGTTATACAATCTGTAGAACTGTTTTTAAAAAAATGTTTGCTTTTCCCTTCATTGAAAGTTGAAATGTTGTCATGCAGTAAATGTTAATTAGCTCAAAATACAGTGAGCTTACTTAGATTGTGTTGTTGTTACATCAATTAAAACATGCTGCTTTTCCTATGACTTAAAGTTGAAGTAGTATAGATAATCATAAAGTAGAGAAAGAACCAATTCATTCTGTATTTTCTCATGTGTTTGTAAGAACTGGTGTATGTGTATATATACACACATCACACATACATATATATAATATATATATACGTATATATACATAAGTATATAATCATATATTATATACATGTGTGCGTGTGAAGTGAAATATTAATTTGGTTTAAACTATTACGCAAAGAGAGTTGGTTGCATTTGTTTTTGGTGTGCTAATCGTTATAGTGTGCATAATTGATGTCTATTATTTGGACAGCAACGGCACATTATCAATAATTTCTCTTTTTTTCCTAATATGCAGTGATTGTTAATAACGAATGTCGAAAGCCAAAAGTTAAAATTGTTTGAAATGTTTTGGGTTTTTATTTTGTCATTTTTGAGGCATTTTTAAACTTATTTTGTTAGGCAGAAAAATGTGCAAGAAATAATTGTTTTGTGTGAAATTATAAATGCTGCCCTTCGCAATAATTTGCGATGAGACAGCAGAAGAGCGGTTCAATTGAACTTATAGCCAAAGGATGAAATGTTAATGTGATGGTTTACAATCTGTTTGGTCCAAAATGGACAACAATAATGGACATTTTGGATAAAGTATGTGTTAGGATATTATTTTAATGTTTGTTTACAAATTACTTCTCCCTTTGATGTTGAATTTTATTTCTGTTTTGATTGATATAAACAATGTAAATTAATACATATAACTAAACACATGCGTGTGTGTGGGTGTGTGCGTGTGTGTGCGTGTGTGTGCGTGTGTGTTAGGATATCTGTAGCAGTACAGTTACTGTTGTGATTTTGTAATATAACAGTTTTAATTAATATTGTCCCAAGTATAACAGTGTTGGGGAGTCCCATATCCTATGAATGACTTAAAACTACGGGTATTTAAAAGTCGTATTGAATATGCTACCTAATATTGCTGTGTTAATTGTGTTTGTTTGCAATTATGTTCTAGAAATACTTAATTCTTGTTTTAAAAAAAAGTGAGTAATTCAAATTAATGTGAAGAGAGTGTTAAGTAGAGGTTTGTAACTGTGGTAACCAGTCCTATTTTATTGTGTCTAAGTAATGTCATCGAATGACATCAGGATTAGGATTTCAACAGCAGGGTAGAATCAAAACAAAAACAAAGAAGAAAGTGATTCATACTGTTTTGTTGTTTTATTTAATGGAAATCAGGGTAAATGTCAAATGTAAAGCAATTAATGAACATTCTGTTAAACAATGAAGTTGTTTGTTTATTTGCTTCCTTGCAAAGAAAACTATCATTTTTCAAAAAAAAAAAAAAATGGGCACGTAATCATAACTGTCAATTTTACATCTGCTATTTTTCTTATTTTAGAAAAACAATAAAAATAAATTTTTGAAATTCCTGAATGGTGGTTTCCGTTGCACTTGTTAAGTAATTATTGCACCTTGTCTCTTTGTTATTCATAAAATACTGTGACCCTTGAAAAGTTGTGTGTTTTTGTTTGTTATGAGTAAATTGATGTCTTAATGTAAAAACAGTACATGTAATCTCAAGTATGTTCATTAGTCAAAATGTTTTTAATCCAAATTGTATTCAACAAAATTTAATGTATTAAATAAGATGATGTTTCATTTATTTGTAAGTGATAATAAAATTGCATGTGTCAATTTAACTTTAGACTAGTTCTGATTGGTCAAACAAAATTATGCATAAATAACCTCGCCCAAAAATATATATATGCATAAGTTGATAAAATAATATGATACCCTTATTAATGAATCCAATATAGCAATGTACGATTTCAAAAGTATTCCTTATGATGCTTACAGTTATTTTCATTATCATTGTATATGTTGTGTTGTATCATGCTCTGTTTTTTCTTAATCAAATTTAACATGAGTTTTTGCACGCTTTAGTCTCTTCTGGCTTTGGGTGTAGGATGGGTATGATAGCAGCATATCTTTGGGAGTATGCACATTTCATTTTATTAAAAATAACATCACCTTTTAATTTTTAAGTTGAAAAAAAAATATAACCATATATAATCTTCATTATTCTATGTATGTATGTTTGTTGATTTTAGACATGGTATTTTAAAAATGGGTTTTGTTTCACTTGTTTTCATTTAATGTTTTATAACCATTATAGTTAATAACAAGCAAATTAATAATAAGGAAATTTTAGTTTGTTAGAATCGCTAAATTAGATAGTGCACTGACCTTATTTTCTCTTATTGCACCTTTAATTAATAATTAGTAGTAATTAATAATAAGTAAAGCTTATATATAAACATATGTGCATGTATCTGAGTCTATTGTCTGTGTAAGTCATTATATGTCAACATTTACCTATGTACAATGTATAAGTCTATATATTACTGGTATCATCCACTTTAATCTCACCTTTGATTGGTCTATACCTCTATTGGCAGCTTCAACAGTCTCTAGGCTTGTGAACATTTTTTTTTAATAGTAGGGAATCCTAAACAAAATTTTGATCTGGACAAACAAGGGTATTTTTTGATAAATACAAGATGCTCTTTAGTGATAACTTTTCTTAATTTGAGACAAGTTTAATAAATACCTTTGAACAATCTTTCCTACAGTTCAAAAATGCAAAACATTTTGTTGTAGTTTTGGAAGTTATTTCAGTAATTTATAATTACTAATAACAAACATAGTCAGTGTTAATAAATTGTCTTGTCTGTTTGCCCTGTGTTATTAGGGTGATTAGTGTGGTTGTTGTTTAGTTGTCATTTCTGGGATTGTTGTGTTTGTTTACACCAGAAAATACAAACTACTTGATTGTTGATAAAACATGTTAGTCTTTAACCGTAGTGTTTAAGTGTATAGGTTTGCTGTTGGCCACAGCATGTTTCGTTGTCATCTGTGTTAGTTCAAGCGACAACACAGTGTATGTTAGTTTACTGTATGTCCTCTATAAAACCACTTTGCAGTGCATTGTATTCCTAAAGATTCTAAATATCTACTCTGCTTAATTAATCTCATTTGCTTTCCTTTCTGTTAATGTACATTAACAACAATCATTTCAAAATGAAAACTCATTACCATGCTGATCATTATGTATGGTCACTTAGCATAAAAAAAATAGATACAATGAGCTGATGACTATTATGCGATCATTATATTCATTTATGCAGAAATGTGTAAACTGAATTTTAGGTATGTTTCTTTAATATGAAAAAAAATGTAATTTGATTATGGTGAGTAAATTAATTAAATTTGGACATTACAGAAATAATTATGTGAAGAGGAAATTGTTTTTGGAAATGAAACAAAAATGTGGATAAATCAATCCCTAGATGAAGTGTTTTAAATTGAAAGAAATTGTTTCAGTTTGAATGTGAATGAACTGATTGATTACTTAATATGTAGGAGAGGCCTTCAAATTATTTCTCGTACAGAAAGATGATTGCTTTATGTTCCATTCAAAACTGTGGCCAACGCATTTTTGTATCATGTAATACTTCTCATGATTAAAGTTGCTTGTTTGCACTGTATATGTTTTTCGTCGCTATTTGTATGTTGCTTTGCGTGTCACATGTCAATGTTATGTCTCTTGTCCAGTCACTGATCAGAATGATTACCAAGATTGAACTTTGCTGTACATCATTACAGTTGCTACCATCAATATTAAAACTTTTTATTTGCATATTGTTATTAATGAACAGTATTCCGAGCAGTGGTGGCGCCACATTCCACAACAAGGGGTCAAAGGTCTTACAATAACAACATAGCCTTCTTCGCACTTTTACGCGTCATAGAAGCCAGTTACAAAATTCGCACGCAGAAATCGCGAGATCCACTATCTTTGACATCAAAGTTGAAAATTGTTTTTGTGAGGGTGAAATCGAGTGCTATGATGATGTTATAAGATCTTTGCAAGAAGTCGAAAGTCACACATAGAGGGCGACACTATCCTCAGTCCCAGCATAATTGCACACTATAGATACCCAAAAAAGGCTGCAAAAATGTTGCTTTTTCCTAGAAGGGTTCCAAGGTCCCCAGTTGGGTTCCAGTACCCTACTGCCGGGAAGCGAAGAGACAATCAAGAACCTATGTGTCGAGTGAAGGTTTAATGGCTGTATCTTTTTTGCTGTGTTTACACTTTATTGAGCACCTTTTTTGCAGCCTCTGGGTCCACTGCTGAATTGGGAGTGAGCGAAACAATAACAGAGAAAGCAGAGAAGTATTTCATTCAGTCGCATATATTTGAACAACTTTATACCATTTTACATACATCAAAGAAACATGCCTTTAATCAATGGTAGAATATGGAGTTCACATCCTTGTACAACTTGTCATATATAAATGCTTTATGCAGAGAATTTAAGTTGGAATGTCTGGATTAGCAATGGCATTTTAGACATTCACAAAATGTACTTCTCAAAGCTAACTTTACAAATTTATTCCTTTACAAACCCAATTTTAATTTGATTCTAGCAGTCCATGAAATAATTATAACATGCTTAAAAAGCAGTACAAAACATTACATATGCAACTGAAAAATAATAACCTAGAATATAAATTTCCAATTTTAAAAAACATTCCTGTACTCTTATTTAAAACAGAAACATCTATTACTATATTTTGCACATCAAAATTACTTTCTTACAATTCTACATTACAAGATGCTAGCATATTTCACAAGGTACTTGCTTTCATCTTTTAATAACATTACTAATAAACTATATCGCAAAGGAATTGTGAATATTGGTAAGTTAATTTAACTACATGGTATATATTATGGCTGGGAAAATTGCAATTAAATACTGTATGTGCATGAATATACACAAAGGAAAAAATTTGTAATTGCAATTTAAAACAGAATAATTGATCCACATTATTAAAAACCAACACAATAGGGCTCTGCATTGCCTATGTCACATTAAATTGAACATTCAGTGTCAGCATTTTTCATTCACAATGTTTGCTGCTAAGCGAGGCACTGTTGCAACATACATAGTGGGAGTTGGCTGCCATGCCGGAACAACAGTCTGACGGTCACACGTTGATTGATTTGGTGGCAACTATTATTTATAATATACAGTATTAGAAATTCTTCAGGCATAACAAATAAGGAAACACTTTTGAAATGATTAAATATGTAATGATAGAAAATAATGTAAAAGGCACAGGCTTTATTAATTGCCTAAAAGACAGCCCACGCTAACTACAGTATGCAGAGGGTCTAGCAGGAACCAACTAGTTTCAAAAACATCAGCAACTTGGAAGTTTTTTCAGATGGTACTTCCCTACGTAGAGTCCAAATCCCACAATAATTATTTAATTTTGGTATTTCCCTACGTAGAGTCCGAATCCCACAATAATTATTTAATTTTGGTACTTCCCTACGTAGAGTCCGAATCCCAGAATAATAATTTAATTTATTTTTAGAACCAATGTGGAGCCCTATTCGCTGGTAGCATTACCAGCATCAACTAGTCCTCAATCCCATGACAAATGCCTAGTTAAATCCTTGTCATGGTCTTCTTTATTTGACCACTTACCCCGTTCATCAACTGGGGCCCGCAGACTTTTTCTTTGTTTTATTACTACTGTTTGGTGGGACTTTAGGAGAAGGTGACTTGAAACTGGTTGATTTTGATGGTTGGCTTAGCTTTGAACGTGATGAACCTGGGACTACAGGTCGATGTCTGTTAGTGCCTACTTTCTGAGCACTTGTAGCAGATGCCGATATCCTCATTTTTGTTGACATGTCCGTAACCTGAATCAACAGGAAAAAAAAATGTATTTTACAAGTCTGACATTTAAATCTGTTTTAAATCTGGACTCTCTTTTTTCCTTTTCATCAAACTGCAAATGTCAGCAGATATGAGGAACCAAAATATATGCGTATTGGATTGCCATCAGCCGGTAAAATTGCGAAATTACACTTACTATTGGTTTTGTTGTTGGTGCTGTTCGTACTACGCCTAATCTTTTTGGTGGACTTCCAATGTTTCCTGTTGAGCTTCTTCGATTTTCAGGTTTATCATCCTGAACAATAAAAATTATAATAATAGTATTGATATTAAAATACCCAATTGCACAATGATGGCTGGGGACCAGTTTTGTTGAAAAAAAAAACAGGTCTATGTCTTTGGAAGGGGCTTAATACAACCAAGGAACTATGGAACTGTAACTTTTTTAAATAATGAAACCTAGATGGCCTTTTATACCTTGCAAACTATATTCTTGAAAGATCTCCAAATAAAGGCAGGAATAACAAATTGGTGTTTTCATTTCACTAAATGCTTGTCCCACAAATTGTATGTAGGAATAAAAACATGTGAGCGTGCAAGGTAATTCTTTTATTTTTTTGAAGAGAGTTACTGACACCTCAAAAGATCACTTTTAAAATTTTCATTTTGGGGGTGGGGGTGCACTTCTCCAGCGCACCTCCAATCTCCTGAATTTTGAACGCCAGGGAACGTAATATCAATAATGAGTCAACTTACCTTTGCTTTTTTGTCATCACATTTACTTTCATCAAGATTATTATTGTCACTTATTTCCTTTGTTCCATTCATCAGCTCCTCTTTCTCCTCTAGCATCATCTGTTTCATCATCTCCAATACATTTGTTCGTTCGTTTCCTTTTAGTTTCTCACCCAACATCCATGGGTGATTCAGGAGCTCATTAGCAGTTAGTCTGTGAGCAGGGTCCAGCTTTGTTAGGCCCTGGATTGCATTTTTTACTGTGAAACAAATGTAGTACAAATATTAGTAACAGTGATAATAATGATAATGCAGGAATTTGATACCAAAGGTGTAGGTATGGGCAGTGCAGCCAGGGCTATAGGAGCCTGTTCCATAACAGGCCTGAAATATTTATAATTAAAAACACTTCCCACTTATTTTTGTAATTTGTTAAGCCCCACTAAGTAATAATACATGAAAAACCATACCATACCTGAGAAATTACATCATCTACACTAAATGTCAGGTTTTTATTGGGCACAAGCATTTTATTTGGTCTGAATACAGGAGGCCCTCTACAGAAATACTCCTACATCACTCTCAAACAATCCTAAAGAGGGCAGCATTACTATAAAATAATTATCATGAAAGCTATACAGGGTGTACTTATGACGTCCCTCGCTATAAAGTATGGTCAAAGAGGGCATCATCGCGACGCCATATGACTGGAAAGGGTTAATGTGCGAGGTAATCCACGAATCACAATGTCTAATGAGGTTCTTACCTTCTTCACTAATTCCTTCCCAAACTGATGAAGTGAAATCCACCTCCCCTTTCCTAATTGCTGTGTACAGTGATTCCTCATCGCGTCCAGTAAATGGTGGCGTTCCAGATATTCTGTAAGAAAACGGCAACAGTAAAGAAAACTCCACAAGTACTAATCCTTGTGTTTAATGTCTTTCAAACTTTAATGATATGTAAATTTCAATTTCTATCATGCAATTGCAAATAAAGAACTTTTCATCATATTTTTTTTAGTAAACCAATAAAACATACTTGCAAGGTTTCAAATAATAATTATTATATAAGTATGAAGGCATTCATTGATACCAAGTTTTACTATCAAAAATCAAACCACTTGAGGGAAATGACAGCTATAATATGTAAATTTCAATTTCTATCATGCAATTGCAAATAAAGAACTTTTCATCATATTTTTTTTAGTAAACCAATAAAAACATACTTGCAAGGTTTCAAATAATAATTATTATATATGTATGAAGGCATTCATTGATACCAAGTTTTACTATCAAAAATCAAACCACTTGAGGGAAATGACAGCTGGACCAGAGTAAAGTGAATACAAGGAACCAGATAATATAGGTAAATTGCAACACCAAAAAAAAACGGGTGAACACAAAAGCAAAAAATATTGATGGGTACTTTTTTTTTCTTTTTTAACTACTTCATTCAATATACAGAATGCTATGAAAATAATATAAATCTCTTTTTTACAACATATGAATGTTTATATTGTTTAAAAAAAACAGCGATCCCACACCAAGCCAAACGCACCCAGGAACCACGGATCCTGAAGGTAGGTATCTGATATAATAGTATTGGTACTTTTAAGCTGAATTGAATTGTAACAATTTTACTTATGCTGAATAGCAGGTAATAGGCTACAGTAGGCACACTTACAAGAGATATGCTATAACTCCTATACTCCATACATCACATTGTTGGCTGTACCCTTGATTATTGATAACTTCAGGAGCTGAAAGTCAAATATATATCAAATTAGATTCTAATCCATATGTAACCAGTATTTTTAAAAAAACATTAATAAAAAAAAAAATATTATTGTCAAAATTAATCACTTTGATTAATTCTTTTTTGTCAAATGTTAATCATTAATTTATTTCCATAGTGTGACATGACATTTCTAATGCATACCTCTAATTTCAGAAGGACATAAAGATAAATATTTTACTTTAATTAGTAGTTTAAAACATACTTATGTAATAGTCATTCCATTGAACAGGATCTTGTCAGTTATGCATTAACTATACAGACAAAAATGTAATATTTTACATTAAATTAATTACAGTATGTTAATATGATATTCACCCATATACATTGGTGTTCCACACATTGTTTGCATCATTGCATCACTTCCAACTCCACCTTTCACTATTGACAATCCAAAATCTGACAGCTAATGAAAAAACAAAAACATTGTTTAAAAATAAGGTAGGAGAATAACACATAAGTTGCAGTATCAGTGTGCTGAATTGTGTAGGGGCATAGTCCATGACTACTGCAGCAGCTGTAGAGAGGTGCTAAGTAGCTTCGTGTTCACATCGTTCCACAACGACAGGCGCTGCAATGAACCAGAGCATGCTGGAAGATATGATGGGGTTAAAGGTGCACACAAGTTGGGCAATTCGTAACACATAACATGGATAAATGGATTAACATAGAAATTACTGTATATGAATTTTTTTGTTATATTTAGGCCACTTTCAGACAGAGCTACTGTACAGTACAGCAATATTGCAGGAATATCCCCAACAATACCCTCTGTATGAAAAGCTCAGACTTAACCAAAGCCGTGAAATTAGGGTTACGCAGCGTTCCATCTTAGACCTAGTAATATTACTGCAATGTTCCTGTTACAGTGCATTCTGGAGTGTCTACAATGAAAGCAGGTCACATTACCACACTATAGCTCCTTATCTGCAACAATAAGCAATAAAGCACGCCCTCAATCTGTGTGATGACTAAAGTGATTAACCATCTCAGAATGTGTGATCCAACCATACAGAAAATCCTTATATTACGGCACTATTACCGCAATATTTGGTTGGTATGAATGGTCCGTGTCTGTAAGTGTACCAGTATTATTAGAATGCTGCATTGCCTTTATATTGATGAAAACGTTTTTGTTGCGATAAAATTACCTTAATGTTCAGTTTGTCTTCTGGATTTTCATAATCTTTGCTCAGCAAGATATTTTCAAGTTTGATATCTCTGTGGACAATATCTAAAAACAATCACATGTAAAAAGTTCAAATCATCAGATAAATTATCAAATTTATAACATAGTTCTGAAATAATGTTTACAAAATTGAAAAGGTAGGTAGGTTCCAATAGGTAGTAACTGTATTGTCCTCTTTTGACACCTTGTAGTCCACGCTTAAAGATGTATTGTCCCTTGCTAATGACAAAAAATCATAAAAAATAATTTTGAAATAAACTTGCTCATATTGCAATAGCATACAAATTATTAACTTGTGCATAAAAATTATTGAATTTAAGAAATGTGTACCCTGATTTTTAAACCAAAAAAAATATAATGAAAGTAATAAAACACTTCAGTGACTGGAAGGGTTTCTATCATTTTTTGCTGTAAACTGATGGGTAGACATTTTTTAAATACACTCATTTTTTTTTTTTATTATTATTAATTTTATGTTACTTCAAAATGGTTAATTTTAAAAAATATTTTTATGATTTTTTTTTTGGTATTTAGCATGGGACAATACATCTTTAAGTACGAAATGACCAACTTCAAATAGTATTGACATTAGATGACGACATGTAAACCAACAGTTCATAAAACCCTGTCCATATCAAATTTGCTTTGACAAAAAAAAACTGTTGTATGCCCATATATAGTCAGTATTGTCAATGACTGAATTCATGTAGCCTTTGATACATCAATAAGATATTTGTTAAAATAGGGAGTATTGCCTTAAGTTGACATATTTCAGTCATTGATTCTGTATGACATGACCATGTTCAAATAGACAGTTGACTGGTAGTCATGGATATAGCTTCAGATGATCAAGTTTAAATAGACAGTATTATCATCATTGACATCTTGCACTCATTGATTCCATAATATGTACAAATAGACAGTATTGTCATAGGGTGACATGTAGTCATGGATATAGCTTCAGATGATCAAGTTTAAATAGTCAGTATTGTCATCATTTAACATGACCAAGTTCAAATAGACAGTATTGTCATAGATTGACATGTAGTCATGGATATAGCATCAGTTGTCCTCATTTGTTGACATATATACATACACTACAGTATAGTACAGTTAATGGTCAGTCTACTGTAAAAAACCGTATTATGTAAAAATATTCAGATAAGAACTTTGTTTACTAACTGTTAGCTGCAAGCAATACATTAGGGAGCTTTGATTTGAGAAAACCAGGACGGAGTGATGGCATGTACAGTACTGTTAATGTAGACTAATCTGCACTTTGTATTCTAGTACGGATTTAGGTTTGTGACTGAACTGAAAAGCAAGCATCTTAACCACCAAGCTATTTAACGTACATGCAAAATTAAAACAAAAAATTGCAAAAGCAGGGCCAAATTAACAGGGACTTTTGGGTGCCAGCCCCAGGCCCACAGGCCCCAATGGGCAAAAATAGGCCCCGAACCCCAGGAAAAATCACATAAAATCAGGTTTTATGTTTTAGCCATAGATTATTTAAGCCCATTTGCAATTACAGCCCCAGGCCCCACAGCACTTTAATCTGGCCACTGTACAAAAGAGGGCTTTTTCCATTGCATACAGTATGCCTCATAAAACTGACAGGAACGCAAACACAATGCTAGTCTGTGATTGACAAGTCACACGATGTTTAATAAATTTAATTAAATACGATATGGATAACATTAAATCAATGAAAACTAACCATTTTTGTGTAGATAAGCTACCGCACTTGCAAGCCTTTTCACAACAGTTTGCGTGTCCTTTTCGTTTAACGTTTTTGACTCATTCAACATGTGCTGCAGATCACCTTCCCCACAAAATTCCATAACTAGATACATTTTCTATATGGAAATAAATAAAAAAAATTTATATTGTGAAAAGTATACTAACCTTGTAAACATGACTTAATCCACACTGGTTTGAATAATTTAAAACAAATGAATTTAAATACAATACAATAAGTTTTGGACCACAAGGAAATAAGTTTGCCTTTTTTATGTTACTTTAATGTGTTTTTCCTGGAATATTAGTTTTGTATTCAAAATAAAGAAATTAAAAAAATAGAAGTCTTGTTTTTTTTGCCTCCTATTAACATACCGTAGCCTTTCCTTAACAAGCTCTAGCGGGATGGACCATCCTCAAAAAATATTGTTAAAAAATAAATTTTTAAAATAGTTAAGACTATAATACCTATCTCATCTGCTCTACAGTACCTTGGGACCAATTCTAATTGTTTGCCCATATTGCCTAAGCTACTGTTCTTCTTCCGTTCAGGAACAAGCTTTATTGTTGAAGGCTCTAGCTTTTGGAATTTTTATGCATAGGCCCTACTGTTTGTAGTGCATACACAATTAAACAGTTCTATACCCACATTACAGTTTAATCCTTACCTTAGGTGTTTCATAGACTTCTTCTAGATGTACAATGTACTTGTGCTTAACTATCTTCATAATTCCCACCTCCCTTTCCAGTAATTTAACAGCTGAGCTACCAGCCTGCAATTTAAGAGCAATAATAAAGTATAACAATTTGCGATACTATACAACCTTTAATAGAAGTCCATGGGCTCCTTTTTTTTAGTCGGACTCTTGGATGCGCTTCTTTTCAAAATGAATGCTGTAACATTTGGAATTGCTGCTATAAAACCATATAGGACTACTATAAAGACATTTTTCAACCATGGAATTTGAAATTCTATTTATTATTTTTTTAAACACTCACAAATAAAAACATAATTTTTCAATTATTATGATGATCATAACATACGAAAGAACATCGGTTGGGCAACAAAATATACATGTAACAACAACAATTTTCATCTTCTGATGAATTTATATAGCTGGACCATAGTGGCATAAAGGGGCATACGCACCCCCTCAAATTAATGAAGGTGCTAGAGGTTTAGCCTCTTGCACCTCCACCAAGGGCTCTAACCTAAGACTCGCTCCCCCCTCCCCTCAATGTACTGTAATTACTGTATTATACTGTACATTCTTGTTAAAAAGCCCATGGCTTTTTTCAAGCCTATAGTACTTTTGCAAAAAGAGGGGACTTCTTTTCAAGATAGGCTTTGATTTGAGCTTTTTCGGTAGACTAAGATACCCCATGTTGAAATTGCCATTTTAGACTGTACAGTAGATTCCTCCATGATCAGTGGTAGCAAACTATTGGCCAGGGGCCAAGGTAATTAAAGCTTTGCTGCTATGGCTCGCCCACTCCTTGTAGAATACAGAGTAGCTTATTTCTCTGTATATTACTAAACTAAACATTCAATTCTTAACCCATAGGCCATTTAATACACCATTACATGGTCATTTTGTCCTGCTTTCTTTATAATTACGGAATTTGTACTGAATGTTTAGCAGTTTTTCTCCCAAAGCCAAGTTTGTCAGAATATGGTCCTCACCACAACCAGAGCCTTATTATCAGGTACAGTATGTGAAATATATTATGAGAATAAACACAGATCTACTGTACTTCAGTACAATAAATGACTCAAAAAATAATACATATGGTATTAGTAGTAGGCATTTATGATTTCTTTGCATTATCCAACTTTGTATCACCTTGCTAAATATGAACTGTAGTTTGTTGTCAAAATAGATTTTCCGTGAAACAGACTACACTAGTCATCAAGCAACATGTTAATTTCTGGAATTGCTAATTAAATCTGTCTGGTTCATTTGTGTCGAACATGTCACCTGTGAAATTTACGGTCAACCACCAGGAGTTTATTGAACTCAAATTAGTTTGGCTATGTTTTGAATAATGGAAGCAGGTTTATACCCAATGTGCTAATTAATAATGTTAGCCTGCAAGGGATCACTAAGGCATTATTGTAATTACAATAAAGAAAACATAAGAGTATTTGGGAACAATTCTAGGGGTATGTTACTGAAAAATCAGAAAGAACCATGTCACAAATTCATGTGAATGCAACGATATGGAAAATGATTAATTACTATCATTACACAGATGATAATCAGTTGGTCCTGCAGTTAATTATCATATTATGAATTAAAGTCCTAAGTACAGTTCAGTGTATGCACCTATAATATTTAGTTTTCAATTTTTAAATAATATTATCTTTATCCGATAGACAATTTTATCACTGATAGTCAGGCCTGGAAAAAATACTTTGTGCCTCCGACCATGAAAATTATCTTGATCAAATGCCTCCAGTTCCAAATGTTATATTTACACTATTATAGCTAAATAGTAGTACATTTAGTGGTTTGGAGCAAGCATACGGTAAATATAAAACTTAATTACTGGTATACATTAAATTGTGATGTGTAAAAAGAAAAAAAAAATTTTCCCGGCCACTGTAATGGTCAATGCCTCTGACCGCGCAATTTTACCAGCCCTGCTGATAGTACTTCACCTTTTACCTGTCTGTCATACTTTTACCTACGGTAGATAAGATTCCCTCTTAGAAAAATGTAAACTTAATGTGCAGAATGTATTAGTATAAAAACTGTATGTATGTCAACTCAGCTATGTTTAAATAGCAGATACAATCAATATGAAATATAATATTTTATAACCAGCAATGCGTTATTAAATTGTTAGTACAGTATTACTATATAACAAAAAGTTATACTACCGGATTTAGAAGTGAAATGGGGTGGCTGTTTTAAGAGACATACAATAATAAGTTCAGAAATATGTTATTGATGAAAGTAAAAGGATGTATCAACTAAAATAGTCGGTATTATGTGATTGATAACATATTGATCATCCACCTTCAAAAATATCTAAGAATTGTAGCCTTATCCAATGTGTTAAATTACTTTCAAAAAAGCTCTGATAATGCCTAATTTTTATTACAAAACTAAAAATCAGTCTAAAAATAATTAGCCAAACTTTAGTAATTGTCACTCCTTAAATGTAACTTCATCCTTACCCATACAGTTTATTTTTATTCTACTACAATTATCGCAAATTTGCTAGGTCAGTAGAGGAGAACAAAATTTCAAATGTGCTTGTTTTTTATATTGGGGCCATTTAGGCATACCAGGTATTTCCAGTCGCATGACAAGCAGTTTTAACTTAACATTTGAAACATGAACCCCTCCACTGCAGCTTGGAAGTAAAAGTCACACCTAAGATATCCTGTTCTAAAATTGTCAAGAACACAAGGGACAATTAAGTAATCAATCTCATTAACTTAGCAAAGTTGATTTGACCAATCGCATTGTATTACATTAGTTGGCATCTGAGTAGCTTATTAGTTACACTCTATTGGTTCACACGCTCTAAATCCGCAATGTCCACTATTCAAATTTAGACAAGACTTTTTTTATGCCTTGATAAAATTATTTTTTTAAAGACCGACAGAGGAGGGCAGAAAAAAATTAAAATAAATTTTTTTTTTCCTATTTAGCAAATGGTTTTGCCAAAGACAGAGAAAATAAAAATAAAATTTTATTGTTGATGATGTTGTTGATGGTTAAATCCTTAAAATTTATATAATTAGGAAGAAATATACATCTAATTTTTTGATTTTTCAAGGCAGCAGCAGGCCTAATAAAAGTAAACTTATTTTTTTCAAAAATTTTGGTTCTTTAGTGGTGGCTGGTGCACTAATTGGCTTGTGGTGGTGGGTGTGCTAATTGGCCAAAAATAAAATTTTTATATTTATTTGAAATCATCATTATTGGCCGGCGGCGTGTTCTCTAAACAAGGGATAAAAAAAGTCTTGCCTTATGGCTCATAATTCATTAACACTTTTAATATTTATAATTTAAATAGTCTCTTTTTAAATACTGCAAAAAGAAATTATGCATTAAAGATTTGCAATAACAGCTGAACAAAATTTCCCAACACACCAATACTCGAAAATTATAACCTATCTATCACAGATAAGTTGTGTCATGGAGTCTTACCTTTTCTTTATTGACTATTTTTATCGCCAATTTCTGATCCGTGTTTATTTGCACTGCTTCAATCACAACGCCAAAACTTCCAGCACCAATTTTGTTGCCGAATGTGTACGTCTTCTCGATGACAGATTCATCCTCAATGCGTGTATGCGTAATCTGCTTCTCTGCACTTCCTTTGCGAGTTTTATTGGCCATTATTTGTGTGTTTTGTCATCATGATGTTTACCACTGAAAAACAAAAGATTTACAATACCATTCATTAATAAAATCCTTTCACATACTCAGCAACCAAGCTTACACCTGCTACAGTACATTTATTATTTAATGACGATGCAATGGAATCTCAATGATGACCCGCAAATACTTTCATTTCACACACTCCCTTTTCTTTTTTATTTCCACAATTGATACCATTGTGATAAAATTTATCATGATCTAAATACAGTAAGATGCAGAATAATATGTTGTTGAGAATTACATTTTTTCTACTTTTCAGTTGTTTTTTTTTTAAATGTATCATTCCATTTTCCAATTACTGTATCAACTAACATCGAGAGAAGAAATAATATCTAAACATTTTAGAAAAACAAATTAGTAAAAGATTGTAAATGAGTTAATATCACCTCTTTCTATGCATGGAGAATGAAGATGGTAATGGTAAGTGTAAGGCCCACCTGCCTCTATGTCCATGAACATGCTATTGCTAAGCATAGTTATGGAGCACAAAATTCCAAACACGGAATTTCATTTTATGCTGTAGGGTTGTGGTATGGTAGGTAGGCATTTCTTTTCTCTTTTAACTGTGTTGTACACTTCATATCTGCAGCAGAGTGTATAACTGTTTTATCGTACCTGTTGATTAATGTAGGTGTCTGAAAAATTATTTGATGAACTATCTAACCTCTAGTGGGTGATGCAGCAAATACAAATTGATTTTGATTTTGAAAGGCGTTGTGCATCAAACTTATGATCAATTTTATCAATCCTTGATAAAATATTTGAATAAGAAATCTACAAGAGCTGTCCTATTGCGTGGCTGTAAGCAACTGAAACAGCACTCGGTATTTATTTTTACATTTTTTTGTTGTTCTGACATGGAACTTTTTGATTTTGAAATACTGTAGTCCTAAATACTACTAGTAAATATTAAAATGCTGTATTTATCATCCAAAAACATTAGTGATAAATTGCTTACTGCTACCAGCTAGCTTTTATATACATTTGTATTTTTAAGTTTTCACTACAGTAAAAAAAAAAAACTTACAATGAAGAAGTCATTATGGCCGAAAGACTGGGTCGTTAAGGCAGGGCCCCACAACATACACCAACAATACACCCATTCTTGTAAATGGTTTATTAAAATATTTGTTATTGAATAAAATATTGTTTCTACAATAAAAAAACCCAGTACATCTTACGGGTCCATACAGGTGCTGTTGTGGATAGACGAGAGTAGTTGGTACCGGTTTACGTGGTAGCTCAGACACGGAGTAAGCCTTTCAGGGGAGAAGAAAGTTACTGAATAAGCTAATCCTCACCTCGAGCGCTTTCAGAGTTTGGTATACTATAATGCATTATATAAATCCAACTACTAGTTAATATCATATTTTCCAAAGTAAAATCATATTTTCTTTCAGTGAACAACATTTAGATTGTAAAAATTCAACTTATACGCTGGATAGACTGTTCATACAGAGTCTAAAATAACATCAGCAAACAATACCCTGACAATTACCCTACACATCTTGAAATTTTTTTAGACTAAAGAGTAAAGTTGCCCTTCTAATTTACACTTAAAATTATGTAATTTTAAAGTAATTTAAAAAAAAAAAACTTGTGTGACTTAAAATGTCACTTACTGTAACTTATCAGTTTGGTTAATAACATAATAGTTGTAGAGAACAATTTAGGTTTCCTTGGTTTCACAAATTGAAATCTACAAAGAATATAGTTTGTATAGACCTGAATTTAAGCTGCCGAGTCCCAGCCAGGCAGAGGCGCTGCAACAGTCCCAGCCAGGCAGAGGCGCTGCAACATAAGTCCAGAACAGGGCACATGCCTGGGGAAGGAGAGTATATACACCGAGTCTCATCTGTCAATATAAATATATATATATATATACTAATATCCCTCATGAAGAAGGTAATTAATGCGTGCATTTCAAATTACAAGCAAATTCGGGGCAAAACCCCACCTAAATCACATCTCCGTGAACTTATCATGCTGATTCTGACCAATAATAACTTTGTTTTCGGCGACGGTCATTACCTTCAAATTCATGGTACAGCGATGGGCACCAAAAACTTATTCATGGGACAATTTGAGGCCAATTTCCTGTCCCTACAGCCCAGGAAAACCATATGTTTGGTTTCGTTACATTGATGATACCTTCATGATCTGGACCCATGGTGAAGATAGTTTGGATACGTTCCTATTGAACATTAATTCGGCTCATCCCACAATCAAATTCACTGCTAACAAATCCACAAACAGTGTAGATTTTTTGGACATCACCGTGACCATGGAAAATGGCGCACTTAAAACTGATCTCACGGATAAGCATATGTACCTGCTCCCTAGCAGCTGTCATCCCCCGCACTGTACAAAAAACATTCCGTACAGCCAAGCATTGCGCATGAGATGCATTTGTTCTTCGGATTTAGATTTTCAGAATCGAACAGAAGAACTATCCGGACATCTCCGGAATAGAAATTATCAGAAATTTAGTGCAGATCTCGCCCTGTCTCTTATACACATCTAGATGTGTATAAGAGACAGCCACTGTAGTGGGAGGAGTTAAAGAATAACAATGCGGATTATAATGAGAGTAATTAAAATCGGGTAGGCCTATACATTGATAGTAATAAACAGTTTGTAATGAGAACGGAGATTAATAGTCGTTCCCACATTATGCCGACAATATAATAAACAGACGATATATATATATCTTAAGAATACCACAATAATTCAAGAATAACTCAATACCATATAGGCAAGGCCTATCAAAATTTGGTATACTATAAAACAGACATGTTTCGGCAAATCCTTCGCCATCTTCAGTGAAACGATTGCCAACATGCAATCTACTATTTAAAGGGAGTGAACAACTGTGAAGCATTGTATTTTAAATAAATGGGAATTGAACCATAGCTATTTGAACAGACATCATGACATTGCATTTTTTAAGGAATCGATTTAACTGAAAGAATGGCATGAGTAAAGATGATAATGTAATGATGAACATCAGAATGACAAAGTTGAATTAACATGTAAAAGTTGCTTATTGAGAGAGGGCGTGTCCCATTTTATATGCAACGCCTCCTTGATTTTTCTTTGGCTGGCTGTTGAAGCGGAACACAATACATGGAAGCATTCCTCGTTGCATGAGGTTTTACATTGAGATGAGCTATTAAGATGTTTAAAAATGTGCGAGTTCCTGTCTGTGGTCATGTGTTCATTGCAAAGTGTCGGCCAGTTTCGCCTATATAACAGGCATTACAGCCTGCGCACGTGAATTTATACAAACGTTAGAACGTAGAACACTAGGAACAGGATCTTTCACAGAAAACATATTTCTAATTTTAAATGCTAACTAATTTGATATTTAAATCATTACAAAACTGTTTCGTTAAAGCATTTATCTTATGTGAAATAACTTTAGAAAACTGACCAGTGTAAGGCAACTTAAAATAACGGATATTCGATTTATATATATATATATAAGTTTGAAAGGCAAATGGGAAAACCCATAAAACAGCAAACGGCCATATAATGCAAAACAATTTAAAATTAAAATTAAAACGGAACAGTAGAGAAAATCCGATCAGAATGACAAAATAAGCTAAGTATCCACTGGAAGGAATCCCAATATCTGCAGACGGATCCGTTTCGGCCTTCCAGGCCTCATCAGTGCAGCTAGGGCACAGACCCAAACGAAACGTTCGACCAGCTTAGGTAGGGCCCAAACTAGTCCCACGACCACTAATGATTACAGAGATATATATATATATATATATACATACATACATACATTATAACATACATACTTATATGTACGGTTTGGTCAAATTTGTGTGGTTTTTGAAAAATACAGGGGGAGTCTCTATGGCCCAAAATAGTGATTTCAGACCACATTGGTAATGTAATTTGACAGGCAAATTACAGTAACATTTTTAGCAAATTTCTTTGAAAAATATCGTAGGCATAGGGCCTAGCTACGTATACAGTATTATCATTTTACAGTAGTTTGGAACGATATCGGAAGTGGGGGTGCAGGCAGTGGCCTGCTAAAGACTACAATTTATTTGAAAATATCTTGGGTCCAATCGTCCACCCCAGTTGGGCCCAATCGTCTGTCACCTGAAGTTTTCATTACGATGATCAAGAACGTACACGATCTAGGCCCTGGGCTAGGCTTAGCTTTCTGCTGTCACTCTGCTACGTATACTACTGTACTGCCGCATAACAAAGAAAGCGACCCACGCGGTGCATTCTTAAATATTACACACATTATTAATTGTATTAGACGATAACACGATATCATTGATTGAACGATCTAACCACCCTCGCATCTCAGTAATACTGAACTAGGCCTAGCTTAGGCCTCATGTTTTTGTGGAAAGCTAGATAGTTGTTATGTACTCGACAGTTGGCTGCCTTTATATTTTCACCTGTGTTCAGATTGCATTAATTCAAAGGGTACATTGCTGCACAGCCAACTGTCGGGGATATAGTACCTTCATATGACTACTCATACGTATACAACAGAAAAAAACGTCGCATGGACTTAGTGAAAAATGGAGATCTAAATAAAAAAACGATGTATTAAACATTTTAGTTTTATTTTAGGCCTTCTTCAAAATACCTATGCCTACAGCAGTTGATTTTTTTTTTTGCCATAAAACCAAAATAGTTTTATCCATGCCGACTTTCCGGTCGGTTAGCGTGAGCCCTGACTGAACACTGCAGAAACTTCACATCGCGATGTAAAACAAAATGTCGGAAAACTTTTCTTTGACGCATGCGCATTTACATAAATGTCTACACACACACGCACACACTACACACAATAAAAAACAGGAAATAGCAAGAGTGATTACAATAGTTCCTATTGCATTACATGCATAGGAACTAAAAATGAGATACCGAAAATTCTGCTGTTAAGGAGAAAATGGCATTGCATGAATCTTTCAGTGTGTGAAAATTGGCATAATGTTTGGCGCCCTCTG